AAGGAGAACTTGAGGTCCTAAAAAGGTAGATACAGCCAACTGGCGGCTTTGCACTGCAGAAAATTGGGCCGGGCGTTCATTGGTGCGAACATTTGGGTGGCTGTGGCTCAGGTGGTAGAGAGTTCGTCCTCCAGTTGCAAGGTTCGACCCCCGTCCCCTCCACAGTCAAAGTGTCCTTGGGCAAGACACTGAACCCAAAGTTGCTCCCAATGGCAGGCAGCAGCTTGCATGGCAGCTCTGTCGCCATTGGTGTATGGATGTGTGTGTGAATGGGTGAATGAGAAACACATTGTAAAGTGCTTTGGATAAAAACGCTATAGAAGTGCAGACTATTTACATTTAGGGGCCCTTTCAGCCTTTCGGTTTCTACTGTGGTATCAGATCCAACAGCTTCCATCAAGACGTTAGCCCAATAATACAACGGGTGTTTATTATGGTAACCTTCATGGTGAATCTTATGTTGTTGATGGAGAAACATACGACGAAGGCATCAAGAAGGCAGAAAAATGCTGCTCCAAGTTTAAAATAATAATCATTTGTCTTCTCATTCACATTTTACCAACCAGCACCGAGCTTCAGCCAGCAGCTCTTGAAAGGCACTGAGACTTATCTACCGTGGGGTTTTGCAACTACTAAACCTTGATCTTATAGTCAAAACAATTCTGGGCGTCCCAAAAATGGCTCGCAGTGGAATCTGGCCTTGTGATGTACACACCTGTAGGATGAATGTAGTATTGAACAGCATCACTGGGTTCAGTGTGCACACTAATGACTCAGTGGAAGGACAGGACCTGGAAAGTTCTCCCAACAAACTTTCCTCCTCTCACAAGATATTTCACTTGTGAAATCTGACAACGTGAAAGGCACCAAATAAAGACAGCTCACGACTTGCGTGCACATGCTGTGAATAATTTCAGTGTCCATTTTCTCACTTACAAAAGGCCAACCATCCCCGAGCTGCTGCTGCTGCTATTTTTCCAAAGCGCTCGGAACTGAACAGGCAAAAGGAAAAGAAAGTGGACACGCTCACCTTTCCAATCTCACTCTTCAGCTTGTACTGGTTCAACTGGATGCAGTCCTGCGAGGGGGGGGGGAAAGAGAAGAGATGGGGAGCAAACCATTAGCACAGACATAACAGGCAGCAAAGTTAACGCTTTAAGCATCCGAAGCAACGAGAAACAGGACTGTCTTTTGTACAGGAACAAAATGTTCCCGCCGTGTGTGTGTGTGTGTGTGTGTGTGTGTGTTTGCATGTGCGCTGAAAGTCATTTATTCCTGAGATGTAGGTAACGATGCAGTCTGTAGATTCTGTTTACTGTCTGCAAATCCATTAGAGTGCTACTGCTTAAATGGCTGATTTGCAGTTCCATGGCAACCGCTGCCACAGCACAGAGTCAGCCGGGGGCACGGCACAAGAAAGCAAGACCGCAGCAGGCGAGGCGAGGCAAGGTGAGGAGTTTGGCGGCGGTGGGGAACATTTTTACGAAAGGAGGGGGGTTGGGCCGGAGAGGTGGGGCGAAGTCGATGAAGAGAAAGTAAAGCGGAAGTGTGAAAAAAAAAAAGATGGAGATGTAGCCGAGGAGAAAACGGATTGAAAGCGGTCCTCTCATTACAGCTGGGGGTGGCGACGGCTTATGAGCCAGACCAGCGCCGGAGGCTTGATGCTGGAATGTGTTTACAGGATGAGAGGTGGTAGGAGAGCACAGATGTAACAACGTGGCTGAAAGTACAACCACCGACTCGTGGCGTAGGACAGGACGCCACCAGGCAAGGTATTTCAGAGAATATGACATTATATAGTGGGTTACATAACTTGCTGGTTATGCAGCCTGTACTGGAATATTACTGCCGGTGCTGCGGGAGATGTGAGGATTGTGCATCGGAGGGTTATGCACTGTAGGGTATGATGGTGTGAAGCACTGTGGGCAGGGATTATAACGAAAGGAGGGGGGTAGAGATAGAATAGAAGATGGGAGCTTTGGAAGGTAACTGCAACTTAGAAAAGGATTGCTTTGATTGGTTGAAGGGAGACAAAAATAAAAAAAATAAAAAAAAGAGTAAAGAAAATAGGGCAGTGAAGGATAAAGGGGGGAAAGGCAAATGAGGAGAATACAAAGAAAAGAGCAGCAGGAGGGATTGTCTGAGAGGACTTCCACTGGGTTCACAGTCGGCACATGCTCAGTGGACGCGGCATTGCAGTTAATACTCTGTCGGGGCTGATGGATAAAGAGGGCCATGCAGAAAGCCTTAAATACATCTGCCACACATGCACACCCCGCACGCATAAATCAAACTCAAACGCCTCGCTGGGCCACAATAAATCTTTCGAGGGCCTTTTGGCGGCTGCTGTCACGTCACACTGTTGCTTTACATTAACAGTGCAGCCCCCCCCCTAGTCCTTGCTCATTTCCCTTCACAGCTCCTCCGTTGTATCGGACCTGTACAGAACTCCCCATCCATTACTCAACAACTGATCAATATCGCCGCATAACGAATGGATCACTGCCACCGCGCCATTTAAAATCAAAGACCAAGCGTTATGATAAATAAGGAGCGCACCAGCCGCAGGAAGAACGTGATTAAAAGTGGAACTTGTGTTTGATAGTATTTAAAGCCCGGCAGTGTGAAATCATTTCCCCTGAGCTGTCATTTTAAAATCAATTTTGATAGATTGGTACAATAACTGAAGCAAAATGAGAGAAGATGGCTTATTCTATGCAGCGTTATGCAGGTTATTCTAGTGAAATGGGCAGAAATGTGCAGAACAGGACGCATGAATGGTACTCAAATATCCTCCACAGTTAGTTTTAACATACAGTTAGTCAGACATAACAAGGTTCTTTATGTTAATCCATTTTGGTGTAAAAGCCTGCAAAAAATGTTTCAGGCTGTGGAGACGGGTACAAGCAGATACTCATCAGTGAAGGACTGCACAAATCTATTTTGCACAGTCACACTGAGAGTCCTCAGAGTCCCGCTAGATCAGATCCAGTCAAAATGTTCACTTTCTTACTGGTGGACATTTACTTCGTGTGGATCTTTCTCTCCTATCAGTATATAGCTGTCTATTCTTGTCGAGCCTTTATTATTCTCCCTTGCGGACGTGCACACGGACAGCTGCAGACGTTATGGATGCATAGCTGTTATTATTATAGTACGTTCTGGTCCACTTGGAGGACTCCGTTCCTCACACGCCCAGTAGGAATGTGTGCACTGCTGGACTTGTAGGACGGTCGCCTAGACAGCAGACAGAAGGACCTGCACAGACTCTCACTGACTTACGACAAGTGTACGTCACGTGGACTGTTGCAGACTCAACAGATCCTTGTGTGCTTTAGGTCTTGATTATGTTCACTTGCAGACACACATAGAGACAGCCGCCACCATGGATGCGTACTTGTTAATATACTAGTTTGTCGTCTGTTTGGAGGTTCCAGAGAACACACACTACTGTGGATCATGCGTAGCTGTTGATGGATCTGCTCAGACTCTCACTGACTTACGACAAGTGTACATCACATGGACTGTTGCACATTCTAGCAGATCCTTGTGTGCTTGTAGGTGCAAAGTGTATAACGCTGACATTAAGTTTTGATTATGCAGACACACATAGAGACAGCCGCCACCATGGATGCGTACTTGTTAATATACTAGTTTGTCGTCTGCTTAAAGTCTGTTTGGAGGTTCCAGGGAACGCACACGACTGCGGAGCTTGTTGATGGATCTGCTCAGACTGTTGCAGACTTGAATGGATGATGACATTTACATCATGCAGATTCTCACGTACACTTGTGGACGCATAAACGTGTCCTGCTCCTCAGACATCCTTCAGTACTGACTGTAACCACGTTAATGTAAATGGTGACTTAACTGACTGGCACTTCCTTTGTCTTGCATGTGCACATTTCAGACATCACTGGTGAATGTAATTGTTCGTTTCGTCCTGGAGAAATCCCTCCATGAGCTGTTTTGACACAAACATGAGCTCAGTTACGAAGCCACACATGTAACTTCCTTTATTTTTTGCTTGTTTTCGCCGGATTCTACTAATCCCAGCTTTAAAACCACAAAACAAACAAAGTTTTGTGTTGAAAATCCACCATAACTCGCAAGATGGAAGTAAATTATGTGTACGCAATGTGTACAAAACAGAGTGAGAGGCACAAGTAAATGCTGTTTCCCACGGTGCTTGTTTGGTTTGATGCGCAAATTACCCAGAAAGGATCGTTTTCTGTTGTTTTTAATAAGTTGAAAGCATGCAGGTGTAAGTCATACTTATTCAGTTTCCCCGTTCTGTTACCTGCTGCTGTATTACATAACAGTGAAATGTATGGAAATGTCAGTGTACCGGCTCAGACTGGAAGAAAGGAAGAAGCTGAAAAAGAAAAAAAGTGCTCATAGTCTGCTATACATTCCTCTCAGGTCTCAAGAAATGTCAGTCACAACTGATGTTCCCGTGAGCAGGAAATGTTCCCCTCTCTCTCTCTCTCTGCTGTGTCACACCGTAGATCCAGTGAGAGCAGCCAAATACAAGCAACGCCGAGTTTTTATGGTTCAGTGCGATAGCTGCAACTCCATTTTCAGATAGGAATGGACGCAGTGACAGGTCTGTGAGTCTGTGGCAGCAGTCTGTTAAATTCAGAGGGCTTCCACATCCTGGCAGATGTCATGAATTTTTAATGCTACTCCGAATTGGAAAAAGCACAAGATAAAATGGAGATTCAGGAGTCACCCACAGCCACACGATGCTCCTTCTAGTTTGAACGAGTTAATTCACAGCAAACTGATATTTCAGGTTTTTAACTGCATGTCTTCTACATGATGATCATCAGTGTTAATCATAAATCCAGAACCGCCCCCAGAGGTTCTGTTTAAAGTGACTAGTTTGACATTTTAAAGGGGCATTTCCAGTTCCAGCTCTACGTATTTTTATTCCAGGACTCCACTAGAGTAGCTTTGCATGATTCACGGTTCAAAAAAACGGATCTGATGCTGGCTGCCATGCCGCCCCTCAGCTGAGCCTCTGCCTGAAACCAGCCTCAGGCTCTTTAACCCCGTGAACCCTCGGCTGCTTTCAGGGTAAGTTCACGTCCTTTTCTTTGAAACTGTACTGTGGTCATTATAAGGGCTAAGCACACACGCTGCATCTGTTTGTTTTTTTCAGAACAGCCTATACTATCCAGATCTTCCATCTTTTGAGATAATATTAACAGATCATTTATAGAAGCTTTTACACATATATCTCACCAACAAAAATGCCAGCAATAGAGCTTCCTTTTTATAGTTGTGTAGGGGAGATTGTCTGGAATCTGACAATATCAGACTGATGAAGGTTGGACAAAATGTGTGCTTAGTGCTCAAAGGAATGTCCCAGTTTTATGTAAGTGTGCCCATACAGTAGCCAACCTACAGAGGCTCCTGGTCAGGCTGGACAACACCAGGAAATGTTTCTAATCCTTACAAAACGCCACTTCTGAGTAATTCAAACAAGATGAATGGGTATGGAGATGGACCCTAAGCTATACGCACATTTTCAATTATAATTAAACTTGATGTAAATTCTAAAATTATTTTTCTCACCAAACACTTTGTCTAACAGGCAAGAAGCTAGTCTCATTGGAAAGCTCAGGTCATGCAGTTTCATGTGATATGAGCTCCACCTCTCTGCAGCCAATACTAAGAGAGAAATTCAACCAAGACGAAAGGTGTGAATTTGGATCCAAAGGGTTCTTAACGCCCCGCTCCCTCCACTCGGTCCACTTTTTTTTCTGCCAACATCCAGCGCTTGTGAGCACCATCTCATCCTCTTGCTCGTCTAGAAGTTCCATGTGTCAACCGTGTCACATGTATTGCAAAACACATCATAGAAAAATGCTTAAAGAATTGGATTTGGGGACTTTATTTTGAACACCTAACTGTGTAACATTATATAGAGATGTTTGGTTAATCTGGACATGTAAACACAACACTGACTCAGGTTTTTGCATGAACATTTCTTGGCCAGATGCAGATTTCCAGAAGTTACCACAACAAATAAGATATCCTGTGCTAATTATTGAGCTTTAAATGGTGCATATTATTATTTTAAGACAGAAGTTGGCTGGCTTTGTCACCGTTGTAAAAAAAAAAATCCAATTTAGCATCCTAAACAGGATCTTTCTCTCTGCAAAAAAGCAAAATGTCAGACTAGTTCTTTAAGATGCAACAGGCTTGACTAAGTAGATGCAAAGCTGTTTGCCCCAAAACCATATTTAATAGGCTCTAAAAAAGCTATCATGATGCAACGCAGGCCATCACTGATAAAATAATTAGCTAGCGTGCGCACCAAACAAGTGCCAAATAGCTTTGATTGTTTGTAATTGTTCAAATGTATGCTCATATACACCAGCAGCCTGCATCCAGTGCAATTCAAGTTGTAATGTGCTTCTTGCATCACTGTGTGTGTTTGTTACTTCACTCCTGCCTCTGTGAAGCTCTAGAAAGCAGGCAATGAGGCAGGTAGTCTCACAGGTTTGACAGTGTGGATTTCTTTGCTGACTGTGCAGTAAGAAAAAAAAAAAAAAAAACGACAGCGATGTAAGAGGAATGTAAAGTTTGCAGCACAACACAGCCGAGCAGCAGGAACGCCTTCAGCGAGCCGATGTAAATCTGAAACCACAGAGTGGAGCAGGAAAAGCATCAGCTGTCACCAAAGCCGCATCATATTTCATCTCATTTAAACAGACGGACATGCACGCGTCGGAAAACGAGTACAAATGGTCCTCATGATGACAAGTCATTAGCAGCTCCCACCTCGACCCCTCACTTCTACGACGCTGCCAGTAATGCATCTCATGTGTGTCGCAGCCAGAACACAAAGCTCTCACATGTCATTATGGCAACACATCTGCTCACAGCGCAGAGCGGAGAGTGTGACATAGGACGCACATCCATGAAAGAGGCTGGCCTAATGATGCATTAACACAAATCACGTGCGATAACTCACAGGTATGGAGCTGAATGCTGCTGCTTCTGACACCTACTCTCATGATGGAGCTGCTTTCTTACTCCCTGCTATGGTACCACCTGTCACACCCAAATGCACAAATTCGTCTTCAGAGTTCCAAATCAGAGGATTACAGGCAAAAAGAAAGGTTTAGGAGTACATTTTTAAGCTTCTTGATTTTTTTCTTTGCTGTACTGTCCAAGCCTGTGCCTTGATATCCATCCTGCTGCTGCTGTAAGAGGAAAACCTCACATTTTTTGTGTAGCTAAGGCATTTTAAGGAATGGAATTAATAAATAAAATATTAACAAAAGTGGCGTTCTCACCTGAGAGTCTGATATGGAGACGCGTTTCGACTCCACTGTGGGCCTGCGAGCCACACGAGGGGAGATGTGGGTGTAGCCTCCCGCAGAGCCCGACATGTAGGTGCCCCTCTCCTGCAGCGACAGCTTCCTCCCAGTCAGGTGAGGCCGCATCGGGTGCGTCCTCTTGGCCTGAGCCCCGTCCTGCTGGGCCCCGGTGCTCCTCACGCCGTTCGCAGCCGAGCCGTCCGAGTCCTTCGTGGTCATGGCAGCCATGATGTCTGTCAGACTACTGGCCTGTGTGGAAGAGTTGGGGTCCAGCCTCTCACAGCCAGGGTCACTGCTCATAGCCATGGCGGCTGAGGAGGTGGGAGCGGTGCAGGAGCAGGTGGCGGGGAGAGTGCCCTGGAGCGCCCACCAGCATCAACGTGACCTGGGCCAGCCTGCGGTCGCAGCGATCTGGGTCTCGGCGGAGCTGCAGGGACAGAGAGATGGAGGCTGTGAGCTCAGTGAGAGCAGAACAGAAATGTCCCAGCAGTGTATTTTTCTCACAATCTTGGTTGACTTTTAAGGTCGATTTACTCACTAAAACTTCTCAAAACACAATCTTCACACCGTCTAGCTGCCAATATCCAGTGGAGAGGAGAGAGGAGTTGGTACAAACGTAATGGTCATCAACATTTACAAAGGACAGTGAGTGATTTTTCAACATTTCTTATCCTCTTATGTCTAATATTTTGTACACAGTAGCCTTTAATCTAACTTTGAAAGCTCTGCAAGGGCTGTAAAAACACTGCAAATTCCTCTGCATGTTTCCTATGCAAATAAATAATTTAGTGCACAGCAGGTTATGAGATTTTTAGTCAGTCTCCTCAGAAGATCACTTAAAGCACAAAGGCAAATACAGCATCGTTCATTTAAAAAGCACTACAACAGATCTAAATATACAGACAATGAGTCTACTATTTAGGGAATAGTGTTAAATAATGGCTCAGTCTGCATTATTTAACATTTATGATGCTGCTGAAGGTTCATTTGAGTCAGTAAAACTGAGTAAACAACAGACTGGAGTTTAATCAAGCAGTCAGATAAAAGAGCAAATGTCATCTCTTTGTGTGTGTGTGTGTGTGTGTGTGTGTGTGTGGGCGGCCTGGCGGGTCAAGTTACCTTCAGTCGACACGCACTCACAAAATCAAATAAATGTCCCCATGATAAAATCCAACCCGTTCACTGCAAAGCTAATTATGCTTTATGCCTTTGGTCATGGTTCCCTGTATCCCTGTCAGATGTGTGTGGGCAGACTGACACAAAGAAATGCACACATAAGGAAGACTGAAGGTATTGTGTGCATATATTATGTGTGTGTGTGTGCTACAGAGACATTTAGCGGCATTTGTTTGTTGTGCTTTTCCCCTTTCATCTCTAATAAATATCAAGTCAGCGGCAGATTGCCACAGACGGGGAATATCAAAGCTCTCTCGTACATCTGGTTCAGGTTTTGTTCTGCATATGAAAGAACACAGAGATGCAAAGTGAGCCTAGCCCAGCTCATCCAAGGAAAAGGGCACGTCCTCAAACAGTTCTCCATCTATTTAACAGCAGGAATCAAGAGTGTTTTCATCCCAGAAGGGCCACCTGGGTGTGTGTATATGTGCCACCAAAAGGCACAGTCTGAAGAGAGACAATGGAGCCAAATACAAAGTCACTCATGAGGTGTTAAGGAAATGGGCCATGTTAAGCTATTTTTGAAGTGTGTCAGGAAGGTTGAGCTTCAGATTCTAAAATAACACAGTGTTCCACTTTGTCCAGGTGTGTCATACTCATTCATGCGTTCACACAGCCATGGCTCGATACCAACTCATAAAGTCGTGCTGGTGGCGTAGCTCTCTGGAGTGTCTGTCTACCACTGTGGTCCAGACCCATATTCTCCACGGGAGGCAAACTGGTGAAGCTACCGTGAAACACCAGAACCACAAACATCGGGCTGTACAATTTAGAGATGAAGTTCAACAATACTTTGCCAGAAACTTTGTTTGCGCACACACAACACAAATAGTTGGATCCGTGGAGGACATTTGCCTTAATTCGTCTGCTCCTGAGTTCTGAAGGTGGCATCAAGCACCATGCCATTTTCATCCACTGACTCTCTATGAATTAGACTTGTTTTCTAGTACATCCCACAGGTACCCTACTGGATCGATACCTGAGGAACTTGGAGACTCTTTGTAATGTTTCCTAAACAGTGTTTGCAAGTGTGGCAAGGAGCACCATCCTGTCAACTGAGATTATCAAGAAATACCTTTGCCTTAACAGGGTGTATGTGGTCTACAACAATGTTTAAGAAGGTTGGAGGAGTCAAAGTAACATCCACATCAATGCAGGACCAGGGTTTCCCAGCAGAACATCGCCAAGAACATCACACTACCTTCGTCCCAACGTGCATCTTGCTGCCATCTCGTCCCAAAGTCAACGACAAACAGTTGTCCACGTGATTTTAAAAACATTCTCACACCTTTCTATCATAGCCCAGTACAGTAGCTGTTCTGTGGGATCGGACCACATACATCAGTAAGCTTTGGTTGCCTATGACCGTGTTCGCCTTTGGTACATACCAACCACTGTATACTGGGAACTTCCCACAAGACCTTCCATTTTGGAAATCAAGTCATCTCGCCATCACCAAAGCCACAGAGGTCTCTTTGCTTGCTCCTTTTCCCCCGTTAACGTGTCAACTTCAAGAACCGACTGCTCACTTTGCGCCTCATATATCACACCTCCTGACAGGTGCCACTGTAACGAGATAATCAGTGTTATCCACTTCACCCGTCACTGGTTTTAATGTTGTGGCTGACTCGGTGTAATTAGCGGCTGCCATGTGAGCCGTCAGTTAAAGCTTGTCACTTCCAGTCCACTGCCGCTTCACGGCTTCACGAGACACGGTGGGATTCCAGGACAGGCTGAACTTACTACTGGGTACACAAATGGGTTGGAAAGTTAAACATTTTTTATCTTTATGCAAACGAGGGTAAAAATTTGCCAGAAGGCTGCAACATGATTTACTGAAAAAAGAAGACGACAAAAAAAAAAAAAAAAGTGACGCATCCGTAGAACAGCAAGTTCAGTGTTTGCCCAGAGGGGATGAATGTTCGTAGAGGACAAGATAATCGTTGCAGTTTCTTGGATTCTGCTTTTGATTCTCTTGTCTCCAACATTACGGGTACAAACAACAATGAAAGCTGCTTTACCACAAACTGGCACAAACTGTTGGGCCATGTCACAGGATTTCTTTTTTCTCCATAATGCTAACTAGCAAGCTCCCAGCTAGTTTGTGAGTACTGGCACAGTGATGAGCAGGAAAGTGGGGGGTGATGGTGCTGCTTGATTTGTTCGCTGCCAGAGGGGCCGTTAGATTTTGTCTAATTATTTTTTGCTTTCAAATCGGGTTCCACAAAATTGTGTTGAAATACCAATTTGGAACAGCAAGTATGTTTCGTGAGGAACATAATTCTAACCAATTACAGCTGGTTTAGCAGCAGAATGAGGAAATGTGCTGAATAAATGACTCTTCCGTGTATTTAAACTTGTCTGCAAAATGTTCAGTCACAGTGTAGAACAATCAGCCACAACATTAAAACCACTGATCATCTTGTTACAATTCAATGTTCTGCTGGGAAACCTGGGGTCCTGGCATTCATGTACATATTGCTTTTACCCATATCACCCACAGATAAAATTGTTGCAGACCAAGCACCTTTGGCGATCCTTGACAGCAGCGGCCTCCACCAACAAAAGCTGCTCAGGAACAGCTTAAAGAACACGACACAGGGTCCAAGGCATTAACTGGACCTCCAAATTCCAATCAAAAATTAATGGGATGCACCAGAAACAAGCCCGATTCATGACGGTCCCATCCTGTAGCCCACAGGACCCAAAGATACTGATACCAAGCCATCAGTGGCCGGAACCACAGGACACCCCCATCGTCTGCATGGACACAAGGTCCTGTGTCGACGCCCTCATGGCTCAGAGCTGTTATGGCAGCACGAGATGGACCTGCACAATATTAGGCAGCTGGTTTCACTGTTGTGGCTGATCAGCGTGTGTCGTTGGCTTTTCTTGACGATATCTTGCAGTCCACTTGCAGACATCAAGCCTTGCATAGACTGTTCATAAAAGATGGACGTAGCCAACAAGTGTGACAATAATTTACAGAATTAACCCCAGAAAGTCTTGAAACTAGCAGTTCAGAACATAAACACGCTCGGAACATGTTTACTGACGTAAGAGATCAAGTGGCAGGCAGATTGTGTTCTCATGGACTTCTGTATAAAGTGTAGTTTCATGATGGAAATGCTCGACCATGGCATTGGCATTCAGTTCCACCACATAGGAAACACCTTATGGACATGTTCACAAAGACAGAACAATGATTTTCACCAAAGGGGGGTCTTTAAACATAGTTATTACAATTCAAAGGCTTGTAGTTTACTGGCAGATATATGAACACACACAGAAACTGAACATCCTTACAGAGGAGTTATGTCACCTATCATATTACACGCTGCTGTCGCCCATAATGTTTGAAAACACCAATAAAATCTCTATTTAAGTGGAAGTCTTCCTCTTGAATGTCATATTATATATTGATTCTAGTGTGTGTGAGGACCGCTGCTTGCCCACGACACACATCATAATTTGCCCATTTCTATTTGCATATTTCAAAGGACTGTAATTCAAACTATGGAAATTTCGAGAGCAGTGGGAAAAAAAACCTTTTAACTGCCAGGACAAGGGGAAATGCATTGTTTGACTCCTGACTCATTTGAGGGGGGAAAAAAAAAACAAAGAGGAACTGTCATATTTTGCTAATTCTTACCACAACTAGTGATTATGTGTCTCTTGAAACGGGTTCTCTCCGGCGCGGCGCCGCTCAGCCCGCTGCATGTGTGAGCAATATCCTGGCAGAAGTGGGAGGCGGAGGAGAAGCAGCGGTCTGGTTATTAATTTTAGCTGCACTGCGATTTCTATTTGTTTGCACGAGCAGGTTAGAACACATTTCCATTATGCAGGATTTATTTTTTTTCATTAGGTTTATTATTTCTTTTCACATCTAACCTTTTTTTGTTTTTATTTTTACTGCCTCCATCTATCTTGGCAGATAAATGTTGTGCCACACAGCTGTGACATGCTGGTAGATAAGTGAAGGCTAAACCAGGTAGGTGCAACGGTTTAACGTTTTTTATGAAAGGTACTAGTAATGCTCCAAAACTCAAAAAGTTCTTCATGGTTGTCATATTCTTAAGTTATCACATAACTTACTTGTACAATAAAATCAATCAAACTGCCTTCAAAAGAGGAACAAAGCTCAGATAAATTAAATTTGATCACTTGAAACAAACTCATCTCTTTACTGTCCTTTTATAGACTTGAAAGTTCATGTATTTGTGCCAACTACAAAAAAAAAAAAAGAGAGAT